GTGACCATCATGCGTTGTTACGCGCTTGATTACGCTAGTATAAATGCTACTTGCGCTACTATAACTACGTAGGCCTACACGGTGCAATATCATCGGGGGTGGATAATATAGTCTGTTATTTACACTTGGCAGTTTACCTTGTTATAGTTAGTGATAGCTGTTTGCCTACGAGATCTGTAGCTCGATTTGATTATGTAGTATTATATATATATATATATATATATATATTATGTGTGTGTGTGTGTGTGTGTGTGTGTGTGTGTGTGTGTGTGTGTGTGTGTGTGTTGTGTGTGTGTGTGTGTACGTGTGTGTGTGTGTTGTGGTGTGTGTGTGTAAGTCTACCTCTGTCGAGCGAGACACAACTTCAAGAGTTCTGAAGCCACGCTCGCGAATGCGACGCCATGATACGTGATTTCGTTTCGGCATTTAGAAGAAGCCGGCATTCAGTAGATATATTGTGAGGTATGCACTGTTTGTGTCGCCTTACTTTGCGAATCAAAAGTCGTTGCGAGCCGTCTTCGTTTCTTTGAGTTCTCGATAATCATAACCATCGTCGATGACACATTTGCGCGAAATCAGTAAAGTTTCTGAAGCAATCGTTAAAGCATGAATTGTAATAATATTATTATTAGATATGTGGCTATCGGCCTACAGGTACAGGCCTAAGGGCTGTAGTGGCCTCCCAAAATGCGCTGCTGCAGAAAAATGTAGGATCACCCAGTAATAAGACCACAAGTGGCGGTTATGGTGTGTGCGGGCAGAAACACTGCGAACGCCGCAGTCGCGAAGCCCATGCTGGGGGTCTGGGGAAATTTTTTGAAATTTAGAGCCTGGAAATGGCATTTCCTGATTTTTCAGGCTATGTTGAAAGCAACCAATTCTGGCTAACGCTCCATTAGGAGTGTTCCCAACTTTGATATCATTAATGATTAATGATTATTGATTAATGATTGATAATCCTAACCCTAACCCTAACCCTAACCCTAACCCTAAACCTAACCCTAACCTAAATGACATTAAACCACAAACTAATATATGACCATATATATATATGTTATTATGACCATTAATGACATTAAAGTTGAGAACACTACTAATGGAGTATCACCCCCAATTCTGATCATTTTAAAAGGTCAATTTGTAAATTTTAAAAAGGAATGTAGCTAAAGCTGATGTTTTGACTAAAGATGTAACAGTGCCCAGTTAATTTGTAGATTAGTAAAGTAATTAATTTCAAATATTCATGGTAAAATTATATATATGTGACTAGCTAAGGAGGCAACACACAGGATGTTAATTCTACTGCGTAGACGCACACCCGGACCTGTGAAGGCAGAATTCGGAGAAGACCGGACGTGCGCAGTTAAATAACATAGTGTCTTGTACACGTATGTCTACACGTGAGTGAGACGTGATTGCTAGATGTTTAACACGTTGTTAGGGGAGAACCTGTGCACGTGTACGCAGTGTGGTTTCACACGCGGGTAGAATCATAATATGACGTCACCTTGCTGGTCATATATATAGACACACCTTGGGAGCTCTCCAGAGAGGTGTGCGCGCATATATTCTCACTGTGTTGGAAAAGACTGACGTACGGACGGACGGACAACCTCAGAGACTGACGTACGGACGGACGGACGGACAGAGGCATATATGTTATGCTAATATATTTTAGGACTCTTGCTCACGAGTGTGTCGTGAGCGATAATAAATTATTGTGCGTGGAAAACTCACTTATGGATTTGTGACATCATTGGTGTTATCTTCGTTACTACGCCTCACCAGACACAGGGGAACTAGCTGACATTCCTTTAAGCGGAAACGCAAACACGAAACGAGACAAAGGGTTAAGAACAATAACACAACGCGGGATTTAGAACATTACCATCTACACGATCACGTGCCTACACACAGTCGGGCACTGTCCCGACGTAACTAATTAACATGAACTAAAACGTAACCGAACAAGGTTTCAAAGTATCTAAAATATATATTATGAGTATGATAACTAATAAAACGTTGTTTACAATATTGTATATACTATCAGTATCAGTACATAATTATGAAAAATAAGCCTATTTTCAATCTGCGTTTATACTTTCACTACGTACATCTGTATGTTTTGAAGTTTGAATTTGAATCACAATACCTTATATAGGCACATTGTCATATTAAATACACATTCCAAATCTTAGAGCACTGATATAACACCTCTAATTGATCAGTATTAATAATAATACCAGACAGTCCAGTCAGATAAATCAGCTGCTTGGTTCCCTGCACAATTTTTTTGTCGTCAAAATAGTGCCACGGCAGTGCCGTGCTGCCGTGGCGGCCACTACGGCCCTGCGGCCTAGCCCTGAACCTTGTTGGCAGCCCACGCATAATTGCAATCGATTTTCAGAGTTAATTATTTGTCATTTTAATTGGAGTAAAACATTTCTGATCAATAGTTAATGGGCGTAGAATTTCCACCCCGTCGTCTGTTATCCGCTAGCAATTAACGTGCAAATCCCGTTATAATTAATTAAAGTTAATTATCCTACGAAAATCTATTTATTTATTTATTTATCATTTATTTATTTTTACACAGATTACATTATTATAGCGACGAAATTTTGTTGCGATTAAGTTATTGACGAAATGCCATAATTGTGTTACTAATTTCTTGTATTATAAGTTTTTAATACTTTCCTAAACCCGAAATCCGCTTGCCTGGCAACTGTTGCTAGGTGCATAGCTAGTCAATGCTTGCCCAGTTTAACATCGTATCCCCTCTCACATGATTTATGGTAATATAGAATAGGATTATTATGCAGTATGACTATATAATATATTGACTATATGAACGGATATCTTTGTCTGAAAAGCTTAAACAATTCTAGCACTACGGTACATTATGTTATGTAAGAGAGTTTTATTCACGTATACGCAATATTTTGAGATTTCCCAAATCCTAATGATTTCGTGCAAATTCAATGTTAGTCGATGCAAACTCAGGCAGAAATAGACTTTCTGTGACGTAAACACCTCAAGCGTTTGTCAGAACAGTAAATTCTTGTCTCGGACACCGATCGATTCCTATCCCGAAACAAGGATCTGTTAGTCTATGGTTGGACACATTTTCCATGCGTATCTGAAGCTTTCGTCAGAGCAGAAGAATTATGTCTCCTAATCTAACAGGCACCTCTCTGCACGCTCCTCTGGACTAGAGATTCCTGTCTTCCTCTTCATCTGCCATTTTCTTCCTTATCTAAGGTTTTGGTTGGGCCATCTTCTAGTTGATGTGCCTATCCCATCATGGGTACCCGTACTATACTAGGTTATACTGCGCATGCGCAGCGCATACATAGTGTAATCACTAACTATTAATACAAAATATAATATTAGTGGAGAGGGAATTGTGTGTGTAGTTACGGAAGAAAGATATCGCCGTTGATGAGCGATCCGGCTTGAATTAATGATGCAGAGGCTTTACGGTTCAGGAAACGCAACTATAGCGATGTAATGGATTCGTTTTTTCGGCGCTAATATTGGTATTAGGGGGGGAAACAGGATATAGAGCGTGAAAATATTCACATATAAGCGCGAAATATGATGCAATTAATATCCCATCGTTAAAAATGCTCAGGCTCGATGTTAACATGGCGTCACGTCTGAGTGTGCCTGCGTGCATAAGCGCGCGTGCGTGTACATGTCTGTAACTGTGCGCGAGCGTGCGTGAGCGTGCACGCGTGTATGTGTCTGTAACTGTGCGCGTGCGTGCGTGAGCGTGCACGCGTGTATGTGTCCGTAACTGTACGCGCGTGCGTAAGCGTGAGAATATATATGTCAGTAAATGTGCATATGCGTGAGTGTGCCTTCACGCGAGTGCGAGTGAGCGTATGCGCGTAAACGACTTTTTTGGTTTGATAAGCTTTCCACCACATGTGTTGTTTCGGGGTTTATAACGTTCTATAAGAGCATATAGTATTATGTATTATATATAAATAATATAATATATATATATCAGTATAGCTATTAATATAGTTGCAGGCCCTAGCCAACTGTAAGATACTCGCTCCTATATCGGTGAGGTGAATACACGGACATGTGCGCGTCATATACATCTCTCTTATCTTATCTTTCTCTTTCTGGTCTCTCTCCCTCTCTTCACTCGTACTCCATCTTTCTCTCTCCCCGCATCAGTCTCTCTTTACTCCTCTCCTCCCTCGGCCTTTCTCTCTCTTCGACCGTTCCTCTTACGCCTCTCTCTCCCCCCATCCGCTCCCGCGCTCGTCCCTTGCTCTCCCTCGCAGCCCTCTCTCTCCCCCCCTCCCTCTCTCTCCCCGTCGCCCTCATTGCTCTCGTCGCTGCCCGTAGAGCCCACCCTCTCTCGCTTCCCTCTTTATTCCTCCCATCATCTCTCCCCCCATCTCTGCTCCCCTCCCCCTCGAACCCGACGAGCCACCTCGTCTCATACCCCTCTCCCTCTCCCCTCCTACTCTTTTCCCTCCCCCCTCTCTCTCCCTCCGCCCTCCCCCAGTCTCTCTCCCTCTCTCTCAGCCTTCTCAAACCTCTTTGTCCCTCCCCCTCTCCTCGCCTCTCCTCACCCCCGCCTCCCCCTCTCTCTCGCCTCTCCTGGCACCATCTCTCTCTACCCGCTCGCCCTCTTTCCTCCCTCGCTGCCCCTCCCCCTCTGCTCACTCCCTCTCTCTCGCATCTCCTCGGCCACGCCCTCCCCGTCTCCCCTCCCTCCTCTCGACGGCCCTGCGCCGCAGCTCCCCCTCTCTCTCCCGCTTCCCCCTCCGTACAGTGGGTCCCCGTGAGAGCAAGCTGCTCAGTATGTACCGCAAGCGCCAGCCGCTGTCTGAGTTTGTCCGGCAGCACCGGTCGTCAGCGCCTGGGCGACGAAGCAGAGGACAGCGGAAGCGTACCGGCCGACGGACACCGTGGAACGTGGGAACCTTCCCTCACGAACTGGGGCTTCCTTCTACTCACGCTCTTACACTATCTGTGCTCTGCTCGTCTCTGTGTGTCCATTGCAAGCAAGGTAGGCGCCGCGGATGTAGGCGGGCCAATGGCGGACGTGGACGTGGCTTCCCACAAGTATTAGTGGTGTATTAAATTAGCTATGTGAGTAATTACCGTGTTACTATTTAGTAAGTTAGGTGTTAGTAATTAGTAATTAAGGTGTTAATATTAGTAATTAATAGGTGTTATCTCGTTAATCATGGATTATTATTCGGTGTTATTTATAGCTGACA